AGCAACAACAACAAGTGTGTTTCCGATACTACATCCTGACCCTTTGACGAGAGTGGAGTTTGGCCTCGGGGTGATCTAAATTATAATAATTGGAAAGGTTGCCCCCTCCTGCGCCATCCCCAGGACTGTAGGGTTTCTTTGGGTGCAGTGTTGTGGCCACTCTGTTGGTTCATCTCATGGGAGGAGGGGTCCCTCATTTACATGAGCCCTCCACTGCACATGCAGTCCTTCTTCAGTGATTGGTCTTTCCTGAGAACTTGTCAAAACAAGTGGAGCAGAGTCTTGTCGGCCTCAATTCGAAGAACCTTCGTAGCGCGGTTGATGTAAAGACGGGGTGCTGCCACCCCATCCTCGATGCCCCTCCCCCCAATAGATGATAAGGCAGACGCCTGGGTCCTCAAAGCATGGAGTGGAAGAATGTGTTGGTATTGGCAAATGGGAAGATGCTGAAATGTTAGGCAGCATCAGAAATTGGAGACACTCACCTTAGTGGCAGTTGGACCAGTGGCCCCAGCTGATGTCCCTTGATGGAGCAGACATTGACAGAGCACTCGGTGTGTTTCAGATACGACCTCTCCATGCCCACTGACTGATGTGAGCGATGAATGTTTACAGGGAGGCGTGTGGGTGTGCCTGCATATCACTCACTTTGCCCTTGAAAGGATGGGTTCCAGCCAACTGTGAAAGCCCCGGTAGTGAGGGAGGGCTAAGGAGAAACATCCATTTGACATGGGAGCATGATGAAGTGGGCATTCGGTTAGGGGTGGAGGGACATTCATGGGTGGATTCATGCTTGAGATGAGCCTGAGAGGATGACGGGAAGTGGAGGGGACCTCCGCCCATCTGTCAGCTTGTCATATGGTGGTAGCTCACCACATGTTGCTAGGATGCTAGAAGCTATATGTGGTGGATATATAATCGTTTATCAATTGGAGGATTAAGAGTGTAGGGGTGGAGTCTAGCTTGTCAATGAGATCATAGCCAATGAGGCCTCTGTGTGGGCATGGCCTTCTCCTGAGAGTTCTGGGGAATCTGGGACTTCCTCCTTGGAGGCAGGAGACACTTCTCTCTCTCTGCTCACCCCCTGGAAGACATTGCAGTTGCCAAGACACATGGACCCACCCTGATACAGAGACCCCTGCCCACGCTGAGATGCTTACAATGCCACTGGATCCAAAGACTTTCTATCCACTGGCCTGTGATTGTTCTGCATTCAGCGTCATTGCCTGTGCTTCGGGAGTCTGAAGAGGACTTTACAGATTGGCATTGGACATATGGGGCTAATATCAGACTTATGGACTTGATCTGGACTGAACTGGGATGTTTTCTTAATGTTCAATTGCTCTTGTATATAAATCTCCTTCTTATACACATAAGGGTTTCTACGGATTTGTTTCACTAGTCTACCCAGACTAACACATTTTACTACTGATATTTCAAATACCAGCAGCGAGTCACCCATGTGTCCAGCAGAGCTTCCGTACAAAGAGACTCTGGAGATAGGCCTGGTCAGCCACCTCCAAAGCGTAGCTCCTGAAAACCTTATGGGTGACCACGGAATGTTGTCCATCAGAAGGGACCAGCACTAAAGGAAGGTACCATGTTTGGTGGAGAGGGCCAGTGAGGCATGGGAGGCCTTTGGTGAGATGGGCTGGCCCCACAGCCACCATCAGGACGGAAAGGTGCCGGTTATTGTGAGGCTGATGAGGGACTGGGCAGCGTGTCCTCCCGCACTGCTCGGGGCTCCTTAAGTTAGAATGGACTTGCTGATAGCAAACAGCACGGCAAGCCCTGTCTGGAGGGCTTTACAAGCAAGCCACACACACACACACACACACACACACACACACACACACACACACACACGACAGCCTAAGCAGTACACCAACATGCATTACAATCTGCTGCCAAGAGAGAAGTATGGCTCCTAGAGATGAATCTGAAGATAGAAAGGAATGGGCACCCAGGATGCCAGCATACGGAGTTGGACTGCCAGGAAACTGAGAATGAGTTTACTGGAAACTCAGAGGTCAACCCTCATCCAAATAACTGAAGAGACCCTAGTCATGGGATCCTTGGCTTGGTGGGGGGTGACCAGTGGTGCTGCCAGCCAACAAGTCAGCAATTTCAATCCACCGGCCACTCTACGGTACAAAGAAGTGGAGTCTCTTCCTGTCAAGGTTTACAGTCTCGAAACCCCAAGGGAGAGTTCGACATAATCCTTTAGGGCTGCCACCCCCTGGCAGTCAGTTGGCCCCAATCCAGTGAAAGAACAGCACCGTGTTGTCCGTTGTGAGCACAGGGCACAGGCTTACCAACCTGGAGTCATTCATTCACGGTTGTTCTGAACCAACCCCAAGGCCAACTCCCCACTGTCACGTTGACACTGACTCAGAACAACCCGGGAGGAGCAGGGCTGCTCTTTGGGGCTTCTGAGACTGTAAGTTCTTTAGGGGAACAGACTGCCTCACCTTTTCCCCAGGTAGCTGCCGGTGACCTTGAACCACAGACCTCTCGGTAAGCAGCCCCCATGCTCAAGCCACGCCTTTGCAGGGCTCCTTTGATTGAGAACCAGTTCCTCTGACCCCACGCTGCCCTTGCGTCACACCAGTGTCCCAGCAAGGCTCCTCGTGCCAGGACGAGGCACACAGCATTCTCACTTGGGGCCTCAGACCTCTCGGGTCTCATTGTTTTGCGTGAATGTCCCAAAGCCCCGCTTGTTGTCCAGGGATTGATTGACTCTTGTGCTTCCTGAATTGGTGATGTGGTTTTCTCCGCAATTCTACAAGTTTGGGATGGGAACATATACAATGATAAAGTGGGTGGTAGTATTTTTCCCATGCCTCTAATTTATGTATGTGTGCTGGGGTGATGATTTAGATAGGAGCTCAATAAATTGATCAAATAAATTACACCAAACCCACACACCATCATTTCAGGGAGCTGTCAGCTCACCAAGGAGGTCCTATATCACCCAGCGTGGTGTGCCAGGAGCACTGTGCTTTCCCAACATGCTGCTGGGCTTTCATTCAGCCGGAAAGGTCTTTATTTCTCAGCTTGGCCAACAATGACAGGATTTTCATTCCCGACAGGTAGGGCTCCTTTGCGGAAAACCAAGTCCAGCCTGCCGCCATCAGGTAGATTCTGACTCATAGTGAGTGACCTTATTGGACAGAGTTGAGCGGTCCCTTTGGGTTTCTGAAACTTTAAATCATTATGGGAGAAGAAAGCCTCATCTTCCTCCCTCAGAGTAGGCAGTGGGTTCGAACTGCTGACTCTGTGGTTAGCCACCCAGTGGAGAACCCATGATGCCATCAGGGTTCCTTCACTGGGGAAGATCGTTGATCATTCACAAGCCGCTTGACCTGCAATGAGTTCTATAAACACTCTGGCTCTTAGATTTCCTTGGGATAAAATGTGGATTCTGATTTCCTACCTGTCAAGTTTGTTGGGAAAGTCGGCATAAGAGCTTGAGCTCATGGGAAGGGCCAGTGTTAGATACCGACTCCATTGGATGTGATCCAGGTCCTGCCTCTGAAGGCAGTGGTGGCCCACTGCTCCTCTACCATGGTCACCAGCTGCCTGTCGGTGGAGACTCACCTCACGTGTTGCTGTGAAACTAAACACATTTCAGTACAGCTTCCAGATGAAGATGGACCAGGAGAGGAAGTCTACTTCGGCAAATCACAACAGTCTGGTCCCATGATGGGAATGGCAAAGGGCCAGGTAGTGTTCTGTTCCACTGCACATGAGTCCGGGCGCACCTGGCCACGCGGGGACAACACCAACAGCTTGGCTCCATCACTAGCTGTGCACACCACTGGGTCCTTTGGGAGGTTCCGTTTCCTAAGCTGGTGAGATGGTGTTGAAGATCATTAATTCCAGGATGCTGCTTCCTACAAGTGGCAGCATGGTGTTAGCTAATGGAAGCCGGTTGGATCCAGCACCCTCTTCGGAAGACCCAGGGCCTTATTCCTACCCACATCCCAGCTCTCTGACCTAAGAGATTGTCTAGGAAACAGCTTCACCTAAACACATGAAGGTGTTCAAGAGGCTGAGGCCACCACCCAAGCAGAAGTTGAGCACCAGGGGCAGAGAAGTAATGGCCCCCCGAGAGGACGTTCCTCCAGAAAGGCTGCCTTTCAGCACCAGTTTTGTTTTGTTTTGAATGATGCTACGTTGACATGATATTTCTTGACATATGATGAATATATCTTAGAAGCAGTTGAGAGCAAAAATACTATGTCAAGGTAGTCCCAGGGTGCTTCCTTTTAATGCTCTGTTTTCATCAAACAAGGGGGAACTTCTTCCTCTCTGATACGAAAAATTCAGCTCCGTTTCAGCCTCCAAAGTCCATCAGTTAATATACAATGGAAAAACTGTCCTGGGATTGGAATACTTCAAGGATACTCTATTAGTCATTAAGTATATGTTACCTGAGTTAGAGGATAGATGGATGGATGGATGGATGGATGGATGGATGGATGGATGGATGGATGGATGGATGGATTGGTTGGTTTGGAATCTGGTTGTCTCACAGATGATCTATTCTTCCAAATCATAAAACCAGACTCATTGCCATTAAGTCGGTGCTGACTCATAGCGACCCCCTGTGGGTTTTTGAGACTATAACTGTTTGCAAAAGTAGAAAGCCCAAGGAGTTTGTCCAAGAAGCTGCTGGTAGTTTTGAACTGCTGACCATTCGATTACAGCCCAGTGCATAAACACTATACCATCAGGGCCCCTTGGACATGTTATTTACTCTGGGCCTCTATTTTTTTCCCCATGAAATGGGAATCATCATAATGGCTGTATACTGACAAGAATTCAGTATGTTCCTACCAGTTAAGTCATTAGGTCAAGACCTGGACGCTAATAAAAACGACCAACAAATGTAAGCTATTGTCATGAGCATTTGCCAGTATTCTATCTTCTGTTAAGTACTCCCTCATCAAAAGAGTCCCCTCCTCCTCTGACACCTGCATTCTCTGTGTTTGTAGGTCAGCAGGTCCTGGGCTTGGTGGAGAACCAGAGCGATTGGTACCTTGGAAATCTATGGAAGAATCATCGTCCTTGGCCTGCCCTTGGACGGGGCTATAACACAGGTAAGCCAGCGGGGTGGCAGAGGGTGGGAACTCAGAAATGCTGAAGTAAGGGCATAAAACGTCTTCCACCGCACAGGCAGAAGACCTGGTTGCCCAATGTTGCTGATGGGCAGAGGGTTGCCAGTCCACTTTCCCATTCCCTGCTGGTGTAGCAAGAGCTGACTGTTGGCAGTCTGGGACACCTCTGCTGACCTGCAGGCCTGGATCCTGCTGGCCGTCGTTATCAGTATTGATCCATAGGCGCCTTAGATTCATCAGTCTAGACGTCAGGTCATTCTGCAGTGACCCATCACGCTGACATTTCTTAACACGACAGAAATGTATTTTCTCTCTCATACTGAGGTCAGCAGGGACTTGTGCTCCCTGTGGGTACCGGGGATCATCTTAGTGCACAGCCCCAAGGTGCAGGGAGGAGAAGTAGCAGGTCTCATTCTTGCCACTGTTAGTCGCCACCCGGTCCAGTCCCTGCCTCTTGGTGAACCATCTAGAAGCAGGCCAGAGCAATTTGACCTAGAGGTTCTCAAAGCCTAATTTTTCAGAAGGGCATGTTCAGTCCTTTTTTCCTAGTCTGTCTTAGCTTCGCTGAAAACCATTTAGCCTCATAGCAATATACAAGCCTCCACCAACAGACCCATGATGCGTTGGGTGGGAATCAAACCAGGTCTCCTACCTGAAAGATGAGATTCTTCCAACAAACTGCCATCACTCCCCACAGGTATCCTACTGGCTCGGACAGTTTGCACTTGGAAGTGACACCATGCCTGTGTTTATGGACCTGCTTACACAGGGAAGGGGCCGAACGGAAGGCCACCCGTGTCCAGGAAAAGAAAAGGCAGGGGTTTTGGTCATCAGCATTTAGGAGGTCCTAGCCCTCAGTACCATGTGTCTAAGTCAAACCCATCCTTCTAACTTCTCCTGCTGGCCTGGTGTCTGTCTCTACATAGTGTCATTCTCTCGGGGTTCCTTTGTTCAACATCCTTCTGCCGAGAGCCCACTGTGCTGGTGTGGAATTCAGCAGCGACAAGCCAGGCAGAGCCCAGGGCCCCACGGAACCCAGTGAGAAGCCAGACAGAGCCTGTCTCCCTCTTGGTCGGTCCGTGCCAGTGTCTGTCTTTCAAATGGCTCTGGGATCTCTGCCTCGCCCTCCTTCACGGCTGCCATCTCGGTGGGCTGCTCTCAGAGGACACGATGCCTCATCTCTGTCAGCACTCAGTCTTGGACCTTAAGGAACTCTAGAATGGGCCAGGTCAGGAAGGGCTGGGACCAGGATTGGGCCAGGTGTCGGGATGGTGCCATCTGAAAGGGGCTGGAGAACTCCTGTCCTACCAAAAACTCATGCCATCGGGTCAATTCCGACTCACAGGGACTCTATTAGGACAGCGTCGAACTACCCATGTGGGTTTCTGAGCCTGTGACTTTGTATGAGAGTTAAAAGTCTTGTCTTACTCCCGTGGTGCGGCCGGTGGTTTGCAACTGCTAACATAACCCCACTATGCCACAGGGTGACAACAATGACTTGCCCTCTCCCTGCCCCTCGCAGCTTGGGGCCAAGTGTGTGGAGTCAGGGGGCCTGCTCTGAAGGGCAGGAAGTGCATGGCCTGGCTGTAGCGGCAAGTGAGATTTGTGCAGTCTGAGAGCTGAGGGTCAGACTCCCCACTGAGGGTAAACGCCAGGGCTGAAGAGGCCAAAGGAAAATTGGTTAGTGCTGAGCTTTCCAGAAGTGGGGGTTCAGAAGTGGGCACAGAGGGGGAGTCAAAGCTGGAGGAGGACAGGAAGGAAAGTTCAGGGTCATATGCTAAGCAGCCAGAGATGGCAAGCAGGAGCCCTACATGGGGTAGGGGACCGTCTTTCATTGACTCTGGCCAGAAGCATCTGGGTATGCCTCCTGTCTGCATC